CTTAATTTCTTATTCAAATACATTAAAATGTATGAGGTTCATGATTTTGATTTATTTTTCAATCTAGCAATTTGGGCAATGGAGGTGGATGCACAAAGAAGTATTCAAACTTCGACTGTCACTGAATCAAGCCGAAATACTGTTATCCGAGAAGGTACGTCTATTAACTTTGTGAATAACATTTTTAAGTTTTATATTTATAAAATAAAATCACCGCAATTAATTTTCCCTAAATTCATAAATAAAGGGCAAATGTTGGTTTTTATTTTTCAATACGTAATTATTGTAATCATCAACCATCAACATTTCCTTTATTTATTTAATCTATCCTTGAATGTGGGCTTTGCATTAAAAGTTATAAAATTGATGCCAAACAATTGCATGAAGATTAAAATTAAGTTTTGTGATAAATTTTGATGGAAAAGTGGTCATCACCACAATTATTGAACCTTTATGTCCTAAAGTGTTAGTTCTTATTATTACAATATTGATATTTCAATTTTTCTAAAAAATTTACTATAGGAAAAGACATAAACTAATTCAAAACTTAAGGTTGGTTGGTTATCTTTTTCTTATTCTTCATCTACAAATAAAATTGACCATATTTTTAGTAATTATGAATATAGTAGAAAAACGTCAATTGAATGTGATTATATTATTTACCAAAACTAAATTCAATATAATACATTTATAATTATTTGTGTATATCTTAATAAAAAAAATTAAACATACTTAATCTTATTAGAAAACTCTGCAACTCCTTGGAATTTTAGTAACCCGAATTACACTTATGACAATGTGGTGCCATCATGTGGTACGAAGAAAGATCTCGAATTGACTAAAAAACATCTAATCCAAAGTTTATGAGTTGTTGCTCGGAGGGACGCGTCAAACTGCCATTGCTTCCCCCAACACCACAAACACTTGATTACTTTCTTTCCTTAGAATATGGGAAAAAAGGTGTCAATTTTCGAAAAGAGATAAGAACTTACAATTCAATGTTCGCATTCACTTTGCTCGGATGTCGTGTGGATTCCAAGTGTGCGAAAGGTCCCTACATCTACAGGGTTAGTGGCCAAAATTATCATAGGATTGGTTCTTTATTACCAAAAAATAGGAAGAAACCTCAATTCACGCAACTATATATCTATGACACTGAAAATGAGACAAATAACAGAATTGAAGCAATGAGAAGGCAATTTGGTGTTGACGATCTTGATCTTCAAATTACACAGGATCTGTCTACAATGTTAGAAGAACACAACGTGTTAGTGCATTCATTTCGCATGGCAAGAGACATATATATGTGTGAACCGATATTGTTTTTCGATTATGGATCATAAACGGTCGCACAATGGATGGTTGACTATACAATCTACCCAGTGCTAATGAAATTGCAGGCTTGATTGTTGGTGACCTGAGCGAAAACAATTTCGAGTGTGATGTTATTGTTGAACATCGTACAACTAGACTTTAACGGATTACTGATCTCCATCCGTCTTTTATGTCGATGACATACCCGTAAATACATCCTTACGGTGAAGATGGGTTTAGAAAAAATATATTACTCCAAAACATGGACGAATCTTCTTCAAAGAGAAAATTTGTAACAATGCGACAAATACTATTGTTTTCGTTTGCAACAACGATCAAACGAGGGCCATACTCTTCTTCGTGCATATAGGCTTCTTCAACAATACATTGTCGATGCTTATATGACGATTGAAGAAGGCAGATTTTGGTGGATTTGTAATAATCAAGATCAATTACGAACAGATTTATTTTCTGGGTTGATGGATGCCATAAATCGTGGTGACACAGATGGAAAAAAAATCGGAAAGTCAATAATACTACCCTCATCACATACCGGTAGTCCAAGGTACAGAGTTCAAAATTACCATGATGCCATGGCAATATGCAAGTGGGCTGGGTACTCGGATATTTTCCTGACATTTACTTGCAACCCCAAATGGCCGGAGATAAATGAAATGCTCCATTTAATGGAACAAGAAGATGATCCAAATCGGGTTGACATTGTAAGTAGGGTTTTCGAAATAAAGCTCAAGCAGTTGATGGCCGACTTAAAAACAGGAAAACCATTCGGAACGGTAATTGCATGTAAGTATCAACTGTTTACTACAAGTTGTTGTTTTGTCTAAATTAAACTTTCTCAATTGCATGTATTTTTTTCATTATGCATAACAAACAACCATATCTTTTTTTACCCAGGTTTATATACCATTGAGTTTCAAAAGAGAGGTCTTCCTCATGCACATGTATTACTTTTCTTGAAGTCGTTAGGGAAAAACCCATCAACATATTGTATTGACATAATCGTCATAGCCGAGATTCCAAATCAAAGTATCGATCTAGATGGGTTTAACGCAGTAAACCAATTCATGATTCATGGGCCATGCGGAGATCTCTATCCATCATCCCCGTGTATGTTACAGAGCAAATGCTCTAAGCATTTTTCTAAAAAATTTGTCTCGCACACAATAATTTATCAAGATGGATTTCCAATATAGAGAAGAGATACAGGAGCTTTTGTGGAGAAGAAAACACATAAGTTGGACAATTGATATGTTGTACCTCATAACAGATATCTGATTGTTAAATTCGATGCTCATATCAATGTTGAGCTTTGTAATCATTCGAGAGCCGTGAAGTACCTATTCAAGTACATACATAAGGGTTCTGATAGAGCTACTGCTACAGTTTATTCAACTAACCCGGATGATGACCATGATGAAATGAAGACATATTTAGATTGCAGATACATTTCGGTTGCTGAAGCATGTTGGCATATTTTCCAATACGATATTCATTTCAGATATCCAGTAGTGGAGCAGTCACCTTTCCATCTTCCAGATGAATAACCAATTGTTTTTAACGAAAATGATAACCTGGAGCCGGTAGTGGTCAAGCCTGAAGTAAGTAGAACAAATATCACATAATGGCTCGAAATCAACAAAAGAAATCCCGATGCCAGAGAACTTAGTTACTCAACATTCCCAAAACACTGGGTTTGGAATGCAAGAGATAAAATATGGACAAGACGTAAAAAGGGCATATCAATTGGCAGAATATACTTCACTCATCTGTCATCCGGAGAAAGGTTTTACATGTGCATGCTTTTAAACTTTGTAAAAGGATGCACCTCGTACGAACACATTCAAACAGTGAATGGTATCACATATCCTTCTTTCAAGGGAGCTTGCTATGGTCTTGGATTTTTAGATGATGATGATGATGATGATGAATGGGTTGATTGCTTAACAGAGGTAGCAAATTGGGCAACTGGTCACGAGTTGCGACATTTATTTTTTACAATTCTTGCAAATTGCCAAGTCTCAAATGCACCAAATCATTGGAAAAGAAATTATGCAGCATTGTCCAAAGATATAGCAAAACTACAACATAAAAAGTACAAAGCACACGACATGCAACTAACGGATGATCAAATTGAAGCTCACACATTGTTCGAGATCGAGGCAATCATGTTGAAAATGGGAAAAAGTTTAAAAGACATAGATGGAATGCCACTCCCAAATACTGAACTTTTACGAGAATTTCGTAACAGATTGGTCAATGAAGAGCTTGACTATTATACCCAAGATTTGAAGGTTGCTCATGACATCGCATTTTCCAGTCTCAATACTTGCCAGAGAAGAGCTATGATGCCATTCTTGCGTCAATGTACAATGATCGAGGTGACTTGATTTTCATTCACGATCGTGGAGGAACGGGGAAAACTTTTCTTTGGAATACAGTCGTATTAAGACTTAGATCAGAAGGAAAGATAGTACTACCAGTTGTTACTTCAGGCATTGCAGCTTTGTTACTACCAAATGGAATAACGACTCATTCAAGATTCTGAATCCCATTGGATTTAACTGCAGAGTTAACTTGCAAAATTCGTCACGTCACACATATAGCTGAGTTACTTCAACAAACGACACTGATTATTTGGGATGAAGCCTCTATGGCACATAAACACTCCTTTGAAGCATTGAATAAAAGTTTGCATGAGATAATGAGTTGTCGTAATGAAAATAGTAAAGGCAAACCATTTGGTGGACTCACAGTTGCTTGTAATACCAAGGGGAAATCGAGCCGACATTGTGAATGCCGCACTAAATTCATCTTATCTGTGGCCTTTGTTCAAAGTATACAAGCTCAATGAGAATAAGCATTTGCAATGCAACACTTTGTCACCGACAGATATAATAAATCTTAAGGTGTTTGACTCATGGATGTTACAAATCGAAAGTGGCACATCCTACGATGATGTAACAAATGAATTGCTAAAGTTCCCTGCTGGCATCTTCCCAGAAACAATTGGCAACTCGGTTGAATCAGTGGTTGAAATGATATATCCTTCTCTCTTGGAAAACTGTAATAGTATTTCATATATAACTGAAAGGGCAATTCTCACGCCAAAAAATGATATGGTCCAAGAATTGACCACATTTATCATGGACATGCTTCCAGAAGAAGGAAAAACATATCTAAGTTCAGACACAGTTTGCAAAGGAAGTGTACAAACAAATGATGAAGACCTCCTTTATCCAACTGAATTGTTAAACAATTTGCAATTCAATGGCGTACCAAATCACGAGATTTTCAGCTAAAGGTAGGAGCCACGGTTATGTTATTACGCAACATCAATCAAACAGAAGGATTGTGCAATGGAACACGATTGATTGTCACATTACTTGGAACATGGTCTGTTAGAGGTGACATTATTTCAGGAACTAATAAAGGAAAAAGTTTCACTATTCCAAGAATAATAATGTCGCCCAACGAATCAAAATGGCCATTCAAGCTTAATCGACGTCAAATACCGTTGGTCCCATGCTTTGCTATGACAATTAATAAAAGCCAGGAACAATCTTTAAGTCATGTTGGCCTATACCTCCCGAAACAGGTACACTCCTCAATTTTCTTATATTAGCATATTTAAATATGTACTTATATTCATATATAATTGCATAATATTCCAATTTATAGGTTTTCACACATGGACAACTATATGTGGTTGTTTCACGAGTGACATCGCATGAAGGATTAACCATAATAAATGTTGATGAAGAAATGGAACACCGTACACTCATAAAAAACATTGTCTACCATGAAGTGTTCAATAACATTCATCCATCCACCGAGTAGATAAGGTAATATTTTACTAAGTTTATATATTCATATTCTCTAAAATCCAACTTCTAGTATTTCTTCCCATATTTATTATGATTATCTCTAACGCCTATAATGGTTAATGCAATTCTATTCCACATCGTATACAGAAAAATCTTCATAAAAAGCTTCATCGAGGATTAGAATACATTGAAGATAAAGATGGATGATAAACGATTGAGTAAGCATAAAAGAAGAGGCTTCGACTACTGACCAAGTTGAACCATATGCATAGAGATCTACGTAGGTTATTTTGGTTTATCTTACCTGTTTCTTTATATATTAGAATGATTTTATTTTAGTTATTGTTTTCTGGTATAAAAGATGTTTGTACTTACATACCGCGCAACGGGCGGTTCTCATACTAGTGTATTTAGTTTGCTTTGTCTTCACTCCACTGGTTCTAATTCATTATTTAGGGTGCTCCTTGCATGTTGTTGTTGTTGTAGGGAGTGAGGTATATCAAATTAGGGTAGGCAATGAGTTATAAGGAATGGGGGTTTGGCTCCCTAAACAAATTTATAATTCAGGAAAGAACTGGAATTCACTCGTAATATTCTACTAACACTAATTGTACCTTCTTAAGGAAGTTAGTGTATGTGCCTTAATTCTACTAATGTGGATGGTATTTATATGTTGCAGAAGTTTAAACTTTCCTTTTTTGTTTCTTCATGTCACTATTAAAGTTGCATGTTATCAATAATGCATGAAATTAAGTTGTAAATGTTGATTTTGAGGAAAACAATGTGCTAACATTACTACACATTATTAACATTACAAACCCAAAAGTGGGTTTTCTATCATAGCTTCAGTGCTCTTCTCACAAAAAATGGAGCGTTTTTAAATTTTGGAATGTCAGAACTTGGTTTCTTTTAAGGCTAAAGTTAAGTTGAATGATCTTAGCTCAGAACTTTTTCTGTGAAAATCTTTTATTTCTTGATGTAATTGTTAAACAAATCGTAATTAAAAGAAAACTTTGTCAGTGTACTTAGAAGCACCCATATGGCGTTTGGTCTTTGAAAGTGGACTTATTTGGGACAGAGATTGCATTTCCTTTCTCTCTTCTCATGATCTTGAGTTCTAAAACCCTAAATGAAGCAGAGGATTGCTTTATTATTGTTCTTTTAGATCTTTGAGCGTAAGTTATTCTAGATTGTAAATTGTTACTTGAAAAAATATGCAGGTATTTGAATTTGTTTTGGGTCATTTGCTATGTCTCGTTCTTTTCTGTACTAATTTTGTAGGTTATCATGCCACTATTGGTTGCTGAAGATTAAAAAACTCTTGTTACATGTATAAACTGTTTGACACAGGTAGTTTGTCCTGTAACTCGATTTACTTTTTTCTTAAATATATATACATACGTCAAATACTCGATTTAATTTTGTATATATATTTTTTAATAAATAATTAATTAAATAAAACAACAACATTTCAGCAGCCTTTGCTGCATTTTCTTAGGAACTTTAACCTTGGAACAATTTGATTCTTAGCCTTTTTAATTCATTCTTTTTGTACCAAATCTTTGATAATATTTTTACTAACATTTTGACATAAAGAACATAATTTTTTGTCAGGTAATGAATTCCATTATCTCATTTAAATTTTTGGTTTTAAAAACTAAAACCTAACAACTTTGAACATTGATTTGAACTATAAAAACCCAAATCTGAGACAAAAGACTACTAGGGTATGATAGACCTCTTAGAAACAAAGTCATATAAGTAAAAATCAAAATTTTTGTTAAGAATATCACCTGGAATCGAAGAAAATTTGAGAAATCGACTTCGAACTTTGAACTTAGATTTCTCTCTCGATAATTGTTTAGTTCACAAACTATATGAATGAAAATGATCCTCAACCGGTGCTCTATACTTATATGCAAGAGTTTTGGCCTATTAGTTAATGAGGGATAAGGAACCGTGAGGTCGCTATCAAATCTTAGATTTTCAAACGGACCTGTCCGTTTGGTAGGACATGTCCCTCATTTTATAAAGAAGATGACATCCAAACTCTTAAACTATCTAACATTCACATTCATTCCCCCTCTTGACGTGGTCGGTTTAACTAGGTCTATAATTGTTGAATTTCTACGCGAATCAAGATCTCTGGTGGTCGACAATCGTTCGGACTTGGTAAAGTTTGTCGCGGTAGAACTTGTGGAAGGAAGACACTGGCAAATAGACTTGCAAATGAGCAGATCTGTCTTTCTGGCTTCTGGGCATTTAACATTTTTGGTCCAAAATGAATTTAGACCCTTATATTCACTTAACTCTTTATTTAAATGGTAGATTTGGCTCCTCTTAACTTATTCATTTACATTTTTAGTCCAAGAAAATAAAAACCAATTCTATTTTATTTTTCTTTTCATTTTCTTTTCATTATTTCCCATTTTAAGATTTCTACAATTATTTCATTCAAATAGTTACTTAAATATTTTAAGACTTCTAATTACTTAATTAATTTAGATCATCATTTTTTATTAAAATATTAAAGACTCCTATAATATTATTTTTTATTTTTTTATATTTAAAATTTTGGGTTTTACAACAAACACGATGATGAGTGAGTTACACATAACAATAAGGTATGCATGAAAGCGTCTTCTTATAATGAGTCTGAGTGCGAGTCTGACTATTATGGGCTATTGGATTACTTCCTAGAGGTCGAATATCATGGTGTAGGGCGATGTGTTGTTTTCTTCGTTCAATGAACTTGATCTTGATTTTATATTATTGATCAAGGTTTTAGAATCGATTGTAAAACAAGTTTATTATGCATCACATCCTTTAAACATAAAGGACTTGAAAGATTGGTGGCTTGTTGTCAAGATGAATCCCAGGGGATATATAAAAGTAACAAAGTGTGTTAATAGCCAATATGATGATAATGTGGATGACGAATACGGATTAAACTGTTCAACTTCCACACAGGATTAGATGTAAGTATTGAACCCATTAGTCTTTTCATGTCGGGAAAAATCATTGTAGTTGATGGCGATGATGCCGTTGACAAGGAACAAGATTTTGAAGATACAAATGACTCGGATATATGTAATGAACTTATTTTTATATTTATCATTGACCTTATATCTATGAAAAATTAATATATAAATTTTCACATCAATTACTTCACCAACTAATCATAAACTTATAATTTTCATTATTTTATTATTAAGTTGACCATCAATTTGTTTAAAATATATAATAATAATATTGATTTGGAATTAGTATATACAAATCAGTTCCTGATATTTTTATAGGCCCTGAATGAAATAAAAGAAAGGCATTCAATAAGTACGAGAAAAAACTAATATGTCATTTTTTTGTAATCATAAATACGAGAAATACTAATCATTCATGTAAAACCGTTTTTTCGAGTATTTACAGACGTAAAATCAATTAATAATTATTTATAAATTAATATTTTCTACCACTTTATTTAATAGCATCGTCGGTCAGTTCCACCATAAAAAACATTCTATAGTATACATTTAATATATAGATTGACATCATTTATGGTCGTAGTGTTGACTATTTTAAGTAACATTATGTAAATTAATATAAATCAGTTGAGTTTCTATCTCAGAACATGTTAAAGTTTTTCATCATTTTTTTAACTTTTAGGGTTAAGACAAATATTTTTGAAACCATCAATCTTAGAATCAAAATGTCATATTAATTATAGTTTAAGATTTTATTTTTCTTTTGGAGATAAGAGAGAACCTGAAATTCATCACTAAATATTAGGTAAATACAGAGTCAATATTTTATAAGAAAAAGAAGGGTAATTTTCAAATCATATATATATATATATATATTATGGTTAATTAATTATAATTAATACTTTATATTATGATCAATACTTTAATCAAATGAAATGGACGGTTGAGATTAAGTTGTATTGGTTGCACAAATGCCAAAGGTTGTATAATAACCAACCTCTCTCTCTCTCTCTCTCTCTCTATATATATATATATATATATATATATATAAATTGGACCGTCTCAATAATTGATAAATTTTTTTTCAAATTGTATGAATTAGTGAGAGATGAATGATGAGGAATATATCAAGATTTTATAGGCAAATAGTTTAAAAATAAAAATCTAGAGACACAATAAACAATACTACAAAATGAACGACTAATTAACTTTTTAGTCTTTATATATTTCATTACCGATATAATTAATTAATACATGTTTGACGCTTAATATAATACAAAATTCTTTTTGAATACTAAAAAAAAAACTTCTCTTTTGTATACTATTTTTTTTATATCATTATTAATGTAATACTATATTTTAAGAAATTCGGCCTCTATTTTCTGTTGGCTTTAAGCATACGTTCAACCCGCTCTCTCTCGGACGGCCCGCTAATATCTTTGTACATACACGTAAATGTATAAGGCCTTAATTTTACACATGCAACTACCCTAGCAGACGTATTTTCTGTATTTAGTCATGTTAAGAACCAAAAATATCAAATAAAGAAGTCATAATAAATTAATTATCATTATTGTTAACATAACAAAAATAAATTATAATTTATTAAGAACAACTAATTTTAACCAATTTCTCTCTCTCTCTCTCTCTCTCTCTCTATATATATATATATATATATTTTGTTATTTTAACAAAAATGATGATTAATATATTATGACTTCTTTATTTGATATATATATATATAGACTTGGGATCACGTGAGACCAACCTATTTTCGTAAGATTCGTGAGACCAACCTATTTTCGTAAGATTCGTGAGACCACTTTTTTACACTTGAAATTTCACATCGAAACACTGTAAAGGTAACTTTCACAGCGAAACACTGTGAACGTAACCTTCACAGTATTTTTGCTATGAATGTTCGGATTCTTTTACCTTCATAGAGTTTTGATGTGAAGTATCAAGTGTAAAAAAGTGATATCACGGGTCTCATGAAAACAACATGGTCTCACGTGAACTCAATCCTATATATATGTGAGACCACTTTTTTATACTTGAAACTTTACAACAAAATGCTGTGAAGGTAAAAAAGACCCAAATCTTCATAGAAAAAACACTGTGAATGTTACCTTCACAGTATTTGTTGTGACAAGTGTAAAAAAGTGATCTCATTGGTCTCACGAAAACAAGTTGGTCTCATATAATCCCAAGTAAAACTCATTGTGCTTGATTTTATTCCCCCAAAATAATGGCGTTTCTGATTTGGTTATGAAAGAGAAGAAGAAATAGGATTGAAATTAATCCACTCACATGCACGGTATAAACGGGGATGAAGATGTTTAAAGTCATCCATGTTTGGTGATGAATATGAATATTATATTCAACAACTTGACAACATGCAACCCATAATCGGATCCATAAGAAGTAAAAAAGCAAATTAAAAAAACCCCATTAACTAATTTGGTTTTGAAGCGATCTCTACTGCAAAAAGATCCGACCTCAAGAAGCATGAAGTTATCAAGAAACTTCCATTTGTTTTTGTTCTTGTTCTTGTTTGGCCTACTAATCACAGTGTCTGTATCTCAAACAAACACCACCGGTGCCACCATCACCAACATAACCAAGCCTGGCTGCGAACGCCAATGTGGAAACGTGACCGTTCCGTATCCATTTGGGATAGGTCCAGGCTGCTTTATGAGCGACTGGTTCGAAATAACATGCAACACCACGTTTACCCCTCACAAGCCCTTCATCGGCAGTCTAGAAATACTTGACATCTCCGATTCTACTTTCCGAATTCGTAACAAAGTGGCAAGCAAATGTTATGATCAACATGGAAATATCACGCAAGATAATCCAGTGTTCACAAGTCTAGCCTGGACATCACCCTTCACGTTTTCACAACGAAATCAATTCACTTTAATTGGTTGTGATGATTTCGCCTTGTTTGTTGGACCTGAACAAGTCAACTCCACCAGTGGCTGCATTGCGCTGTGTTCAAGACCTGAAGAAGTGGCGAATGGGTCCTGTAATGGTGTTGGATGTTGTCAAACATCGATCCCAAAGGGAATGAAGTACTACTACACTGCTGTTGGTAGTATGGTTGCAAACCACACAAGTATCTGGTCTTTTGATCCTTGTACCTACTCGTTCATGGGGGAGAAAGAACGGTTTATTTTTAACGGGGTGTCAGATTTTATGGACCCAAATTTCAAGAATCGGACCAGGGCTAGTGTTCCAATATTGGTGGATTGGGTGATAGGTAACTTGAGCTGCAGCGAGGCAACAAGTGCTGGTGTCTTGGGTTGTCAAGCAAATAGTCGATGCATCGACTCTAATACTGGGGTTCCCGGATACAGATGCAGTTGCAATCAAGGTTATCAGGGCCAGCCATATCTTGATCCAGGCTGCCAAGGTTAGTTTATTATTACTAAAGAAGCAAAAATATCGATTTTGCTGTTTCATCTTTTTATATATTGCAAATGAACCGGTGACAGATATAAATGAATGTGAAGATCCCAATGGTAATCCCTGCGAGGGGATCTGTAGTAATACTCCTGGAGGCTATAAGTGTTCTTGCCCACACGGTTACGTTGGAGATGGTCTGAAAAACGGACGAGCTTGTGTTGCGGAAAATTCACATTTCCCCGTTATTAACTTCTCTCTAGGTAACCACGTAATTGTATCGTTTTATCTTTTTCTTCTTGTTTCTTTCACCGGAAAAGATGGCCAAAGATGGAGAAGATGGCCGGAAATGGAAGAGAGAGAGAGAAGATGGTTGGAAATGGAAGAGAGAGAGAGAGAGAGATTGTCGGAGATAGAGATGATGTCTTATTTTTAACGGAGGTTAAAATCTTTTAAATTTAATTAATAAAATGGATAAAAAGACCAAAATATCTCTAAAGTTAACGAGTTAACGGACTTTTATCAATTCCATTAGTAGTAGGAACTCAGGTTGAAACGAAATGTAAACCACAAGGACCCCCATTGTACTTATAATAAAAACCATATGCAAATTTTAAGCTAACCATAGGGACCAATGGTGTAGTTTACTTTAATAAAATTAAAGTAAATAATTTTTTTGAAAGATTTTTAATTTTTGATTTTCTATTTAAAAGAATTACAATACAATTGTTAGTGGAGATGTTTTAAGTAAATACAATCAATTAAAGGGTGTTTGAGATTACTTATTTGAAACAATTTATGTTTTTTTATAAAAAATGTTTATCAATTTATTATAAGTTAGAATGGTTTAACTTTTTTTAAAATTTCTTATTATCTGTTTGACACCGGTATAAGTTGTTTATTCAAACACTCAAAAATGTTTATTATCAATGCTACACCGAAATAAGTCAATAATTTTTATAAGCAATCTCAAACACTCCCTAAGTCACCTGCAGCTAACCCAAATCCACACTCATATAAAAATTATATGAGCCGTCAATGAACCATAGAAATTAGATACACACAACCAGAACAGACAAACCCTAGCCATCAAGACACGAAATGGCAATCAAAAGGTCTTTGGCCTAGCAGTATCTTAGTTTTTGGCTTCCTAGGAGTTCACGGTTCAAATCTTACTAAAAATGAAGAGGGTGTACGAGTTTATTTGTTAGATTTTGTCGTATATAAATATTATATACTTCAAAAAAGGCACGAAACTGGTCATGTAATTTGGTAAAAATCATAATTTTTTGTTCATACTTTATTTCATTTCTTAAAACGGAAACCCACAGCTCGTGTTAATCTCTGGTTTTACAAAAAAGAACCTTCACTTTCTTGTTCTAAAGCTTTATTTTACGGTAAGAACACAATCATGGAAGTTTCGATGCCACACGACACCAGGACTTTTAATTTAACTTCCTTTGATGCGGTAACATGCAGGTATGGGGTTTGGTTTCTTAGCCGTATTAGTTGGAATAACATGGTTGTATTTTGGTATCAAGAAGAGGAAGCTTATTAAAATCCGAGAGAAGTTGTTTCAACAAAATGGTGGTTTGCTACTGAAGCAACGAATCATGAGCACCGACCGCAATGTGGATTCAACAAAAGTTTTTACTGTCGAGGAGTTAGAGAAAGCCACCAACAGTTACGCAGAAGACAGGATCTTGGGCCGAGGTGGTTACGGTGTTGTATACAAAGGTATTCTTAGTGACCAACGAGTCGTAGCAATCAAGAAGTCTCGAGTAATGGATGAGACCCAAATAGAACAATTCATCAACGAAGTGGTTATCCTGACCCAAGTTAACCATCGGAACGTGGTGAAGCTCTTGGGATGTTGCTTAGAGAGCGAAGTTCCATTACTTGTATATGAATATGTCTCCAACGGAACTCTCTTCAACCATATTCATGATAAAGGTATCATGACTTGGTTATCTTGGGAGAATCGTTTAAGAGTAGCCGCTGAATCGGCTGGTGCACTTTCTTATCTTCATTCAGCCGCATCCACGCCGGTCATTCATAGGGATATCAAGTCTGCAAACATATTACTAGACGATAATTACACAGCCAAGATTGCAGATTTTGGAGCTTCAAGGTTAGTCCCAATAGATCAAACACAAGTAACCACCCTTGTCCAAGGGACACTAGGGTATTTAGATCCTGAATACTTCCACACAAGTCAACTAAATGAGAAGAGTGATGTTTATAGCTTTGGGGTTTTGCTTGCTGAGCTTCTAACTGGGAGAAAACCTTTGTGCATGGACAGAACTGACGAGGAAAGAAGTTTGGCTACATATTTCATAGTGTCACTAAACGAGAACCGTTTGTTTCAGATTCTTGAGCCTAGAGTTGTAAAGGAGGGTACCCTAGAGCAACTTCAAGAAGTTGCTCTACTTGTGAAAAGATGCCTTAAACTTACCAGCGATGAGAGACCTACGATGAAAGAAGTGGCAATCCAACTGGAAGGGTTACGTAAGTTTAGACAACATCCATGGGCAAGTCAACATGGTGATGAAGAGAATGCAAACTTAATAAACACAGAGCCTGAACCATCTGACCTTTATCCAGTATCAATGGAGCTCTCTTCGGGGTTTAGTATAGATAGTAGTCTTATATATCCTGCAAATGTCCTATGAAAATACAATTCGTCACTATATGTATGAACCTTGCAGGCTTATCATACATGTATGGAGTTTGAATACAATTCTTGAAAAATTGTTACTCTAGTTGTGTTGTATAAGAGCACGTGTTTTACGGCTATAAAACTGTAATTTTGATATGAAACCCAACATTTGTAGCAAAATGATGCAACATAGATTTACGGAAGGATCGACAAACGTCTAAACTCTTTTGGGTTGAGAATTACAATTCGTAAAACTCGATAAACTAAGAGAAAAACTTTTAAAGCTCACAAAAGAGAAGAATTTGTATTGATAATAATATGTATAACAATAAAAACAATGAATCCTATTTATAGCTAAACTGATTAAGATAATTATGGAAACTAAATTAATCATAATTCTTAATTAACTAGAAATTATTTAAATAATAATCCTTATCTAATTTAGGAAAAAAATAACTAATACTTTTAATATTAATCCTAAATTAAATAAGAAACAAAATAATTAAATAAAGAAATAAACATAATCTATTCAGGACTGTTAATAACTCGCGTTCGACCAGGTACGCAACCCAAGTCCCGGGAGAAATTGCATAGGCCACTGTTAACGCGTTCTCGATGTAGTATTTCGGGCCTCTTTCGAGTTTGTTTCTTTCTTCTCCAAAGATCGAAGAAAAATCTCGTGAACTGTCGAAATATCTCTGTGATACTAAATTTTTTGGATTTATAACCAAAAACAAATTTTAGAAACTATCTACATTAAATGATGATTTTAAATAACTATTACATAAAATAAAAATAAAAACAAAGTTTTAATCGATCCTACATATCTTAGTTAATTAATAATTTTTCAAAAAAACAATTAGATTAATATTTTATAAAAATATTTATCACTTTTTTATTATATATGAAATAAAAGAAACATATAACTTTAACTTATGTAATTTACAAAGGCATTTTTAAATTTGTTATATTTATTTTTTGACAACTAAATATATTGAATAACAATAATATGAAATAATTGATAAAATTAATAATAATTTTGAATGATCCGTAACTAATACTAGGTTAGCTTATGTTCATGCAAACATATATACTCAAAAAATAAGCTAGCTTATGTTTGCCAAACAATGTTTATAATTTGTAATCTTGATTAAAGAAACACACCTCATCAAGTAACATATCAAGCTCAGGTTTAACATGAGTTACCGATATCTCCCAACTAAAAACATCTAAAATAAGTTCAAATATGCCACTAGATCCATCATTTCCCTCACGAGCATGTGATCTAAATTCACATTCCTCACTTTCATCCACAATAGAAGAAAATACATTCTCACATATCGATCAAAAAGCTCATATATGAACTTTTTGACTTTAGTAATATTTTCCCAAGCTAAATTTGGAGGAACTCTACAGCCTTCCCTATTGACAATAACATGTTGTGTTCCCCCCAATATTTGTCAAATCTCTCTTTCATCTTCTTTACAATACTTTTACTAGAATCATCTTTAGACTGAGATTGTTTATCTAACATAACTTTAATCCTTTATAGCTCAACAAGAAAAAAGTTAGAAGTTGGATATTCAAAACCAGATATTGAGTTAGTAGCATCTTTAAATACTTCAGTATATCAAGAAATTTTGCAATTCTAACCCACTCCTCTTCATTAGGACAAGAATCATAATTACGGTCATGCAAAGCATATCGGGTAAATACCTGTCCAAACTTAATGGCACAATCTAGCATGTTGTAAATCGACTTCCAAAGTGTCTTTCATTCAAGAACTAACTTTCTATGCTTCATATTGTATTGGCTTACAAGTTCACGAAAATGGTTGAGATGTGCATTACTTGCGTTCAAGAAATCAACAATATCAATGACTTTCTCGATAGTATGCTTCATGGGTTGAAGACCATGTTGAACCATAATGTTAAGAATGTGGGCACATAACATCGGACATGAAACAATCTTCCACCACAAACAAGCCTCCATTTGATTTAAAAGAATCATTCAAAATTGTAATACAATTGCAAATGCATTATCTATAGAAATTGTGAAAATCTAATATGAATACAAAGATTAAGCTTTATCAGTTCACATATCATAAATAAAATAAAACACAAATACAAATATAGTAAACAAAATAGAATTTTCTTTGTCCTCAATTTCTCACTCCTTTATGCATGTTAAGATGCAATCAACAATATTTGTGCCTTTATGTGAACGATCCAAATGAACAAAGTTAATTACCTTTTTTGAAGCTTCTAATCAAGATCCGCAAAATGAGCAGTAATCATCATGTAGTTCATTTTTTTGTAGCTTTGACTTCCACCAAATTTGTAGTCAAACTTATTAATTCCACTTTCTTGAACAAGTCTTTTAGTTCCTTCTCAAACTCATAGACTTTGAAAAAATCTACTTTAATAGTGAGTCAAGATACATGGTTCCATTCGGGTATTCTCCATTTCATCATCAAATTAAGGCTTTCCTCCTCAACAATACTGAAAGGATGCTCATGCATAGTGATCCAATGGGCTATCCCCCTCACATCTTTAACATGTCAAGTTTACCATTACGTAAATCACTAACAAATCCAAATTGATTTGTACCCGTACTTGAATCAGATCGCATAAAATTAATCAATTTCACTGTCTATGTTTTGATTTTATCATACAAGATTTCAAGTGTGGGTGCATATGAGTAGTGCTCTTAGATTTCAAAAGAGAAAGGGGACTTTTACAATATCTACATCTTACTTTTCATTGACCCTTTATCATTTCAGTTTCCAGAAATTCAGCTCACATGAAAAGGGTTATCAATATCATCCTTAGTTTATTTATTTGTGGTATAAGGGGGTGTACAAGGTTTTTCACTAACCTCCATAGTTACATCCTCCCCTTCATTAAACTCATCATCAACATGGTGCACATGCAACTCCGCATGCCTTGAAACCCCAACAAGCATAGACGATCCTTATGGTCCTCTAGACATCTCTAAAAAAATATAAACACATATTTAAATAAACATAAACTTCAAAGCAAAAACAATGCATATAACTTCAAAATGAGTATAAATTTTATATAACTCCAAAATAAAAACAATGTAAACCAAAATGAGTATTAAATTTTATCATATTCAAAATAGAAAACATTCTGAACAAATTAATCAGGTTCAAAATGAAACTAAAAACAATAAGTAAAATGGCTAAAATGCATATATTTTGAGAAGATGGAAAATAATAAATTCAAAAAATAAAATCGATATGTTTGAGGTGCACCAGATGACCTAAAGCCAAAATAAGCCACGGGTTTCTTTTCAAAAAGAAAGGTTTTGTCTCCTCGCCATTGAAAGTTCCACTAAATTGACGTATATGTTGCAACAAACGTAGTAAAAACCCAGAAAACATAGAACACAAAACGGAGAGAAGGACGTTGCCAATTAAGAGATTGAAAAATAGTATGAGATACGATGGAGATTGAAAGAAAGAGATTGAAAACAGATAAATGGAAAGGAGGAAGTTACCGAATGGAAAACCTAGATGTATGACGGAAACCGATTATGAGAGGACCTTCTTCGAATTACAGTGGGATTCTAGCCTCAAGGAGAGAACGACAATAACTACTAACTAGGGTCGTTAGTTTTTAGCTTGAGTGGTTAGAAACTAAAAAGAGATTGAATATAGTTTAAATTTTAAAGTTTCCTATTTTTTTTAGCACTGGGTGCCATGTGGCAAAGACTAAAGTTTAATTGTTTTTTTCTATTAAATTTATTATCTTATTATTAATTTATTATGTTAAATTAATTTGTTATTATATCTTTAAAAATATATTTTACACATTATATTATAGAACAAATTATATATAAAATAATTTGAGTATCTTACGAGCTTATCGAGTCGTGTATCAGTTAGATTGATTCGACTCGTTAATATGTTGAGTCGAGCCTACTCAAGTCAAGTGTTCATCGAGTTTTAACTGAGTCGATCTCGAGTAGCATGCGAGTTGTCTAGTCTCATTTACACTCATTTTGTATGTATATTTTGTCACTTCCTAGATCCACTGCTCCAATAACTTTAAGATCAAATTTAGAACATAGAAAATCAAAAGGACATCTCCATAACAGCTAACTGAAACATTATTAAGTTTTAGTTGTTGAAGAATTCCAATATAGATCGTAAGTATTTTGTTGCATTATTTTGTAGATATATGAGGTTTAGGTACCAATTACTTGAAAAAATAGTGAAGAAAGACCATGTTAGTCTTAACCATTTGATTTGGTAATAACACAAATACATCTGATCCAAATACTTAGAAATATACTTGAAATTATGTCTTAAAATCCAATCTCCTATTATCAGACACAATCTAAATCCGGAATACTCCAAAATTCGGATATGGATAATATCCGGATTTACTATCAGATTTATCATTAAGAGCAATCTAAAATAGTTCAAAATTCAAAAATGATGAGCATTCGGATCTTATCCAAATATGAATCATGCTTCCAATCCTAAAGTCCTTTTTAGGATGAGAACGTTTTTTACAAACGTGCAAGAATCATTATATAGCTTGTGTTTCAGATAGAAAAATTAGATTATGATTTTGATTGTAACACTTTTATTATTATCTAAATTGGTTCAAAACACAATGCCTTTAACAAAATCGAAGAGTAGTTGACATGAAACCAAGATAGTCATCAAAGCGGATTGGTTAATCATTTAGCACATTGAAAACCGGTAAGAGATAAAGTCAAAAATAGTTTGACAAATTTATTTTGGCAGGCTGATTTTTTAGTGCATACTTAACTCGAAAGTTTGGCTCACCAACTCTACCAGCTCTTGTCCTAGTATGGGAACATGCTCAACAAAGATTAAGTAAGTTCAAAAGTATTAATTTATTTATTACTATACTTTCTTTATTGTTTTCTCTGCATACAGAAGGATGAGTTGTGTTAACAAACGTATACATCAAACTTAAAAAGCTGAAATGAAGAGTACAAACATGCACTGATCAACAAATCAAATGAAAACACATATTAATTAAAGTTAGATAACAA